TCTCGGAGCGGGGACTGGCCGAGTCGGGGCCATGAGTCTCGGAGCGGGGACTGGCCGAGTCGGGGCCATGAGTCTCGGAGCGGGGACTGGCCGAGTCGGGGCCATGAGTCTCGGAGCGGGGACTGGCCGAGTCGGGGGCATGAGTCTCGGAGCGGGGACTGGCCGAGTCGGGGGCATGAGTCTCGGAGCGGGGACTGGCCGAGTCGGGGGCATGGAACGTGGGGCCGGTACTGGTCGGGTCGGGGGCATGGATCGTGGCACTGGTTCTTTGGGGCATGGATCGTGGCACTGGCTCGGGGGCATGGATCGTGGCACTGGCTCGGGGGTCGGGGGCATGGATCGTGGCACTGGCTCGGGGGTCATGGGCTTGGGTCGGGAGGCCGGGACGGGAACCTGCTGCGGCCCAGCGCGGGACATCTTGCGCTGCGACCGAGCGGGGTCGGGACGTCGCTGCGGCCCAGCGCTGGACATCTTGCGCTGCGACCGAGGCGGGTCGGGACGTCGCTGCGGCCCAGCGCTGGACATCTTGCGCTGCGACCGAGCGGGATCGGGACGTCGCTGCGGCCCAGCGCTGGACATTGTGCGCTGCGGCCGAGCGTGGGGAGCATAGGTGGCCTGGAGTCGGACCGCAAGGTCCATTACCCGCTCCCAGTGAGAATCGCCTCCGGACGACCACGAAATGGCCTCCTCCTCTGGGGACCATGTGGTAGGCGGCGGATGGTGACCCAGATGCCTACTGAGGGCTCCAGATGGGGAGACGGAGTAGTACAGGTACCCAGCTGGAACCCCCGGGAGGACCGTTCCCCCATTACCAGCAGCCCGCTGGAGACTCCGTGGACCACCCATTGCCAGACGGGTTCCCCTGAACTCGTCCAGGGGAAAAAACTCTGCTGAGTCCTTTCTTGGTCGCGTCATTCTGTCAGGGTTGCGGGTGGAAGGCAGGACTCAAACGCAGAGTTCAAACAGGAACATAAAGGACTTTAATAGTCAATGGTCAAAAAACACAGGAACCGGGAGCAAAAGCACACAGACGAGAAACTATGGGCATCCAAGACAAAGACAGGACATGCGTGGCAAAAGACAATGACGCGACCAGTGACACAGGAGACACACGGCTTAAATACACAAGGGAGGTGCAGGTGATTGGACACAGGTGGAAACTATTAGACGATCACAGGGGATGACGGGACAAGGCAGGAAGTGAAGTTACCCGGGGACACGAGTGGCAGAAAACTACAAAATACAACAGGAAGTGAAACCACACCGTGACATTATCATTGTGACAAAATTGGTTAATTTTCTTATCTGCTCTGAAAAGCTCCAATTTATGAATTGCTGCAAATAAATGTCTGATTAACAAATTGTGGCATTAATGAGACATTCATTTGTATTTAAGTAGCCTTTTTTTCCTGCATTCTTTTGTAGCCGCCTGTTCTTTACTAAACGCTTTTGTACACAAAACCATAAACTCGCCAAAGTTGGATTTTTTCAAATTCTCTTCAATTTTCCGTGTCATCCATTTCAAATATCCCATTGTTTAAAAAAAACTGTGACTGCTGGCACAAATATTCTATCAATGTGGCCAGTACATAATTACCAGTGAATAAATTGACATTTATTCATGCATTGTTGCAATTGTTAGTTAAATGGGCATTCATTATTTCAAAAACCCCCAAAGTTGTAACCGGGTTCAACAACTATTACCCAACTCGTCTCCAAACCTTCCATCTGCCTGCAGCTGATAGTTTTCCAGATGGCTCTGAGTGAAGCATTAGCCTGCAGTAAAAGGTGGTACTTAAACAGAGACTGTAACTGTAGGTGGCTCCTCCACCTTCTTAAAACAAGACATTAATGTTCATTGATGATTAATGCGGGCCACCATGAGTATCGATGGCCTCTGTAGCGCTAAAGACTCTGAGGGGAGCGATGAGCTGCATCTGTGTCATGAGGTTGATGATGCTTCATGGAACCTCCGAAGAAACGTGTGTCCCCCTGTGTTTTTGCTTGTTTGGATATAGAGGAACCCCCGCCCCCCATCCCGATCCATCATTAAAGTGAGCACATGCATGTAAATAACTCATTAGTCCCGGCATCGATTGTCTGCATGCCCACTTCACAAACGGAAAAAGGCACCCAGCAATCAATCAGTGGCTCAAGAAACCAATCATCTGCTTGTGAATAGGTCTTTCAAGTAGCAGGAAGAAACCTCTGCGGTAAAATATTATTTCCACATTCAATCAAGGTTAATCGTTCACTGTGCTTCACGACTTATTGCGATGTATTTTTACGTACATCTTGGGTCAACTTTCTCTCATATTTGTTGATTTTCAGTGATGTCATAAGAGCTGCGAATTATGGGAAATATGTAAATGCTAAAGCAATACTGTCGGTTGCAGGATATGGACGTGACTAATGGCAGCTGTGGGATACTTTTAGTGGGATACTTTCTCTGTATGTTATATTTGCATGCAGTAGATGTGTGTGCATACTCCTGTCCATGCACTGCAGAGGCTTAGGGGAAAAAGGGCTTCTTTTTTTTTGCTGCAAGTTGGAAACGCCTTGGGACTGATGGCTATAGAAATGGAGACGAGAACCGGCCAGACAGAGCAGAAAGGCCCATACACAAATGGCTTTTGACTGGTTGCACTCTGATGAGCCTTACCAAATCCAATGTGACAGTCTGTCTCTACTTTTCAGGAAATACACAGCAATGCATGTTCAAAATGGCGATGGCAAATTCTGGCTTGCTGATGATGCATGGTGTGTATGAAAAATGCACCTGTAATCAAAAGTAACAGCTGAGGTGTAAAAACATCTAAGGGTGTTAAGACACAAAACAACCTACGGTGCTGCATCACAATTGTTTTGTTAATAAAGGGTCACTATTGTTGTTTTCTGTCCTATGGCTCCTGAGGAAAATCAATTTCTATTCTGTCACAAAAGCAATCCGTGCTTTGTTATTGCAATCAATAGGTCATCCATTAGTTCTTCAAATAGCTGACTGTAAACGCTTCTAAAAATCCAGCACCCGCATTAAACATGGTGCTAGCCGCAGGAATGTAAATGCATCTTGACATTTCACTTTCCATTTGATTGTAGGCGCCTGTAGCTACATAGGCGTGGAAGGTTGTAACTTTGTGGAAGTTTGTAACTTTAAGAGGCTGATAATTCAAACATATAATAGCGCCTGCAGCAGTTTGAGCATTGTTTTCTCTCTGCAGCCCGAACACTACTAAGGAATTTGTTCTTTATTTCTTTTTTATCTCATTGAGAGAGGGATTTCAATTCAATTGCAGGAGAAAAATGGAGGAAAAAGAACACTGAATGTCATTTTGGCAAATTGACAAGTTCAAAATCATTTGAGTAATATTATACAATGGCTCACAGTTTTACATTTCCTCTAATACTTTATTTGCATTCAACAATCCAAAAGGGAAATGTCCAGCCCGTAACTGACTTAGCATCTGCCTTAAAAATAAAGAAATGCACTATTGAACTTGCAATCCTACTGTTGGATTGCACCTTTGAATTTCAGACTCTCTGACAATGATCCTTGCAGCATTAAAATGAATATGTAACCAGCAGGTACACTTATCTTTAAGTCTTCATAGAGTGTGTTTTTATATCTGCCTCAGAGCAGATGGCGTTTATGAATAGAACAAGGTGGCTTTAATATTGGAAATATTTGAAGATTCAGCGAGAAACATAATTTTTTCTTCCTCACTGCGGATTAAATTGTGGCAGCTCACTGGTTCTATTCATGTGGGATTTAAGTTAAATCCAAAGGGTTCTTTTCTAATGTAGGTTGCTTTGAATGTAAAAAAAAAAAGAAGAAAAACTATCACCCAAACTGAAAATGCGTGCCAGTGGATGGAGAGCATCATTGGCTAGGGGAGAGAGGGAGGGAGAGAGAGAAAGCAAGGGAAAAGAACAAGCTGGAGGAAATGCATTTAGGACAAAGAGATTGGGACAGAAGACAGATGATTTACTGGTTCATTATCATAATGCATAATCATTCAGCATATTCACTCAAGTATGTCATTAAATCATGTGTCGTAAAAAAGAATAAGGAAGGACAAATATGTCAAGCTTTGAGCTGCTTTGGCAAACTCATTTAGAGGCTTCATCCTCTGCTGTCATGTGTTTGTTCTCTGAGCACGCCAACTGACACACCGAATTCTGCTTGAGATTCTGTTTGCATGCACCTACGCGTGTTCTTTTTTTTCTACATGTGGGTACAGTTGTCCGCTCTGCCAGGCTGCCGCGCCCATCTGTATTTTTGTGTGTGCATTTGCAAAGACAGACTTGATCGACAGAGTGACCTGAGCGGTACCTGAATCGCAAACTGCGTCACATTTTAACTCCCTGTGTCTTTGACAGATGGCTCGGCTCTAAAAGCCTCTGTCCATGGTGCTGAAGGCTAGCCTGATGTATGAGCGTCAGGGCCTGTTTGATAAATCCGCCGTGTCACTCTGCCTCTGACAGCCATTCATCATGCTTGGCTTTCTCATGTGAAATGTTCTGCACGCTGGATAATTCAGTAAGACAAATAAAATGGGGAGTCCGAAAGCTTCGACTCGACTGAGTGCCACCATGCATTGACTTTTCAGCGCTGTACTTTATCTCTCTGTCGTAGAGATGCTGTGTCCCTGCCTAAGCATAGGCAGCAGCATCTGTAGCTGTAGCACAGTGACTGTATTTAGACCAGCTGAAGGACGAACATGTTGTTAATGAGGCGGCTAATGAGTTCTGTTTTCTTTTTTCTTTTTTTTCTTTTTCCAAGAGTTAGGACGACCATTCAACCACTCAGCTGCAGTCTGCTGAACTCGAGGGCCTCCCTCTGTACTACTTGGTCGTTATCAAAATGGTGTTTTACTTGCTTGTAACATATACAAGTCAATAAACTAGGTAGTATATTTATAATGCAATGCATTTTACTTGAGATAAATCTAGTAAATTATGACACACATGAGAATAAACAAAATGCAAAAACTAGGCAATTATTTGTAAAAGAAACAATGACATTTATTTTTTTTATTCTTTAGCACTTTACTTAATTAGTCTGCTGTGCCCATTAATCACATATAATACAGTTAATATAAAAATGGCTTTTTAACTTTACACCCAAAGCAACACAACAAAATGTTTTCTTAAAATATGTATGCTAAAAATACTGAGAAAGTATTTCCACTAAAAGTACGGGAAATAGCTTGTGACTCTACAATGATGACTTGACTATGTTTTGCTGTTTCTTGTCTCTTCTCTGTTTACCTCGTGTAGTTCTTGTTGTAGGCACTTACCAGGGCATAACAGACCACGTTGTGAGGAGATAACACATCAGTCACGCCAGTTTTAATCAACCTATTATATTTGTAATAAGTCCAACACGTTATTATTTCCTAGTCACTGTTGCAATGAGAACTACACAGCATAAACAGCCGTTTGGCATATGTCCTCCCTAGATACCCATTTTGTAACTGAATTTCATTAAGCTTAATGCAATGTTGCAATCAAAAGTAGTCTCCCCCTGGCCTTGATTTAAAACTCATTTAAACTGTTTGGATACAGATGATTTGTCATTACATCAACATAATAGAATATATAACAATATTTCCATTACAAATCAAGAATCCATTTTAAATAGAAAAAGGGGGTTTATATTTCATCAAAAGGCGTATACCATAGTCACTGTAATTTGTCTACTCTACTAAACCGCTCTTCCCATAATAGACAGGTGTTATAACTGTATCTCTAACTCGTCTATGGATGTTTGACAAAGCACAGACGGTATTGCTTGGGACCACACAGACAGTTCCACACATCTGAACACATTTAACAGTCAATTACAAGAGAGTTGACCATCATCATCTTCACTTTCTTTTCTCTGCCTGCATTCCTGTATGCGTGGTATGCGGTAAATGCCACTTTCTGTTGAATTTAGCTTGGTTTGATGTAACGGTTACAAAGCCACCACTTGATCTGGGGTTGAAACTGGGAGAGCATGTAGTCTATTTCAAACTGTTCCGTCCCAGTCCAATAGTAGGATTGCCAGTGTATCTCAGCCGGGGATCAGCAAGGGGTAGGCCTTTGAAACAGTACTATAGATCTCTCCACCCCTGCATGGCCTTGTCCATTCAGTGTAGTTGGTGTGTGGTGCTCTACAAAGCTGCGTTTCTTAAAAGGCATTGTCAGATACATTTATGACCGTGGCTTTCACTTTGACTCCACTTGGCAGTCCCTTACCCGAAACCCACAGCTTTGTAAAGAAAGGGGAGTGCATGCCGGTTGCATCCTCTGGTGTCAGGGAAGCTTTGGAGTCGCATTTCCTTATATCCCCATAAAGGTGACGGTTTCTCAGAGACACATAAATAAGCAGGCACGCCACTGAAATCACAGCCAAGAGCACACCAAAGACAGTGATTACTGCTGCGTCCCATTTTTCTGTGTCCTTGGCTGCCAGCTCTAATCCCTTAGTGGTGACATTGACACATTTGGTGTCATGGTTGTAGTTGATGCTGCCGACATCCACACAGACTTTGTACAGAGTGGCGGGGGTGAGATGTGTGAGGTTGTAGACCTGGACGTCGGAGGGAACCCTGGTGGTGAACGCTGTGGTCGGATGGTTGGAATCTGACCCCGTGTACCATTTAATGTTTGGAGCCAAGGTGCCGTGGCCAGCCTTCCACGAGACCACTATGGAATTTGTCTCCACCGACTTGATTAGGATATTCAGAGACCCATTGGCTGGCTGGGGGAAATATCCGTTCACCTCTACTGAAACAGATCTAAGATCAGCTCCGACCAGATTATGGGCAACGCAAGTGTAGAGACCTGCTTCATTTTCTGTTATATCATAGATGTCAAAAGTTCCTTCCGGGTGCATGTAGAACTTGTCGGACACTGTGTTGGGCAGGACTCTGGTACCAGACGGGGTGATCCAGTAGATGTCCGGCTCTGGTTCAGCGAAGGCCCGACAATGGAGTGACACAGAGCTCCCGTTCTGTGCTTTAATGTACCCAGGCATGCTTTCGGGAGAAATGAGTGGCAGACAAATCTCCATCATCTCCCTGAAGTGCACCTGTCGGACGTGCTGACCCTCGTACTCTGGTGGCTCCACACAGTAAAGTGAATCGGGCTCCATGAAGCGAAGGTTAGTCTTGTTCATGTTCATCCAGCGGACTACACAGTCACAGCGGATGGGGTTGCTGTGCATGCTAACCTCTCTGAGATTTGGGAGGGACTCGACAGTAATCCTGTGAAGGGCACTGAGTGCATTTCCATTTAGCATTAGGGTTTCCAGTCGCGGTAGTTTGTAGAAAGCATTAGGATGGATATAAGAGAGTTTAGGATTGTTGGTGGCTTCTATTTTGGTCAGCTCTGGGAGGTTATTGAGGGCAAAGCTGTCAATGGAAACTAGCTCTGGCATGCTATTAATCCCTAGTTCTTTCAAATGGAGCATATCCACAAAGTCTCCTCTCTGTATCCTCGCAATAGGGTTTTTATTTAAATCTAAAAACTTAAGATTTTTTGCATTTTTCAGGGCAGAATGAGGCACCTCAGCGAAAACGTTATCATAGAACGAGATGCTCTCCAAGTTATCAAGACCAGCCAGTGCATCGTCGGGAAGCTGAGACAGGTTCATTCTTGTGAGAACCAGACTGCGTAAGTTAATCAGAGGTTTGAAGTTCATATCATCAATAGAAAGAATAGGATTCTCCCCAATCATTAGGATCTCTAGATTTGGCATGGGCTCAAACCACTTTCTTTTGATGGCCGTCAGCTTGTTGGAATTGAGGTGGAGGCGCACAAGTTTGCTGAGACCCAGAAAAGCCAACGGGGAAATGGAGGAGATGAGGTTGTGATTCATGTAGAGCTCCTGAAGGTTAGCCACCTCAGCAAGACTTTGCTCAGGCAACTCTCGTATCCAATTTTCCTCCATATGAAGGGACAGCAGGTGAGGAAGATTCCCCAGGTGCACATCACTGATCGAGGATAGATTGTTTTGTGATAAATCAATCTCTGTGATGTTAGCCAGGTAATCCAATGGTTGTTCAATCTTGGCAACATTGTTCGTTTGAAGTAATAGCACTTGCGTGCCCACCGGTAATTGTTCCGGCAGGCTAAAGAGTCCCAAGTCATTACAGTCAACTGTCTGAGCCTCCATGTACACTGAACTCGGAGAAAACCAGGGTCTAATCTCGCATACACAAAGCTTCGGGCAATCAGGCCTCTCCTCTGTGGCCAGAACAAAAGAGGCCATGGCCAAGCCGACAAAGAGGCAATCCACAAATGACACGTCCTTCATATTGGACCGTTTCCCTCCAGTAAAAATTGGTCCTTGTAGATTAAGTGGTCTGAGCTGTTAACTTCACAAATAATGAATCATTTGCTGCGGCTGCTGATGCGGTTGACTCACCAACCCTGCCACCACCAACTGCAGCAGGTCTCCCTGGGTTTTTTTGTCTTGCTGCGTCGACGCCCTTGGATGTAATGACCAATCACTCACTGTTGCCTGCAGGTGTCAGGGTTTGGGGCCAAGGAAGCAGTCAGGCACACCCGAGAGGGTGGAAGGGGGGGCGGAGGGAGGATTGACTGATATTATACCGCAGAGGATTTATGTTAAGCACATTACTAGGTATCCATGAAAAATGTTTTTAAAGATGGATGTCGTCATTGATTGTCATCACTTGCTTCCAGAGTCCACTGTCCTCTCCATTCCTACCTGTGTTAGACAAACAAGACAGAGAAAAGCGGTGTGTGAATCACATGATACCGGATGTGGTCAGGCAATATAATAATGGAGGGATTTGGGCATATTAACATTTGTCATTTTTTGCACGTTCCCCTTAAGATATAGCACCATGGATTTATATCTACTTGACCTTCTAGACTTCATTCTGACGACGCACCAATTTGCCCCACAATGTGGCATTTAATTCTGATGTGAGCAGTGTGGGTCTATTATTCGGGAAATGGAAGGCTTTATTAAGATTCTTAAATGGCAGACATCCTAGGGCTCAAGCATCAGCCTTTGGAGCAAGCGGCTTAAAGACACTGGAATATGTCAGTTACTATGGCAACAAGTAAACGGGAAGCCAATAACACACACTACAGTGAGGCAGTTGAGCTGTACGTGAAAACAACACATTTGTCACAGATGCAGCCTGCACCTGTTTGTTGGAAAATGCAGCACCGACAGCTAAAAAGCTATTAATCTGTTGCATAAGTGAAATCAACAAATCAACACACTAATCACATTCAACGATTTTACATAATACAAATCATGCTTTTCAGATTTTATAGAAACTGAGCAGTTGACTTTTTTATTTTACTGAGGTTTTTGATGGCTCTAAGTTAGTATGTATTTACACTCAGAATTAAGCAAAAGCTGAAGGCTATATAAGTTTGACTTATTTAGATATACGTTTAGGTGACATACAGGTACATGTAGAACAACTTTATATTAGGGATGCAGATATGTATCAGTTGTATTATTTTGGTCAAAATGTGTGAGAATTAAGAATCAGCAACTGTTTTAGTTGCTTGGCATTTTAAATATTCAGAATATTGATTACACTCAGCATAAATATTCAGTCATATATGCCTGAATTGTTTGAGAATATAATCACACTCTGTGCTGTGGACAACAAATAGGATAAAAGTGCATCTTCTCGGATGAGTCAGATCTCTTCATTCTGTAGTGCCTCTTTTACCGTCACATCCATGTTCCATCCTCTTCTGTTATGGTAGAAAGTCCACAGTTGAAGTGCACCATCTAGTTTGTTGTATATAACTGCCTCTTACAGAACAGATTGGTTTGATGGTGCTTGTGATATTTCTGGACTATAAGAGCACGCAGCACATCGTTGTAAAAGTCAAGAGAGGTGGGATTAAATAGAAGGAATCTGGAGAAGAAGTGTGACGACGGAGAGAGAAATGAAGAAAAAAGTGCATCAACCTCACAATCTCCCCTGAGCCGCCACAAAGGAGATATGTATTTGTGTATTGGTTTGAAAAAAAAAAAAAATATATATATATATATATATATATATATATATATATATATATATATTTATATATATATATATATATTTATATATAATGGTGTGGTTTTGGAGGGGTAGGAGAGGAGGGGGGTCAGACAAGGAGCTTGTGGAATGAGAGCAAGGGAGGGAGAGAGATGGAGAGAGAGGGGGCGGAATTATTTTTCCAAAGCACCTTGTAATGTAATAAGCTACACCACCCAGAGCATTCTGATAAACAAGGTTCAGTTTCTCTCCCTCAGCACCGGTCCGTCCTTCTGGTCAGTGCCGTTGATTCGTGCACAGGAAACAACAGGCCATAATCTGTAATCTGCAATCACAATTACCAGCAGTGTAATGTGGCCAGGCTAACTATTATTGTGTATAGCATTATTGTGCAATCACTGCGGGTGGCTCGGGTAGGCTGTTACTGTTTTAGCGATGATGTGAATTTTGTCTTTTGGGATGTTTGAAAGCAATGACTTCTGTTTTATGAGCAATACTTTCTGTTATAGGCTTTGCAGCGCCTGGATACAAAGTCCTTGAATGTAAAGTGCTGGTGTGGAATAGGGAATAGTGCTGCGCTATTTTTATCAGGTTTCAGTCAGCCTTAAAAGGGATGTTAGGAGGACAGCATGCTTATGAGAGGTAAAAATTGACAGTAGTTATAGTTAGAATATAGTATAGTTATAATATTGTTTTTAGTTTAATGTGAATGTGTGTTGTTTGGCGTATACATTGTATGGAATTCGGAAGGCTTTACCGAAAGATTTGCAAGATGGTGTGGCCAGCAAATCCAACATGTTCCGCTGCAAATAAGGAGCATTGAGGATTCCTTTAATGATCATTCCACACATGGTTCATTTAAATCAAGATTCTAGGATTTCATTGTGTTGATAATTGATTAACGGTTTAGTATATATAAGTGTCTTGACATTTTTCTAGTGCTGAAAGTCAATGACCAGTGAACATCCGCAGAGCTCGGTGTAGCTAATCAAAAGGTGCCGTAACACACCGACAAAACTGAAAAGCCTCCGTTGAGAATCCTTGTCCGGCTGGAAAATGCGGCTTGTTAAGGGCGCAGCAACTGCATTTCATTACACGTTCTCATGAAGTTGGAGTCTGGTGCCAAACTGCATCACCTTAAGTGAACTATCCCAATCATGCACAGGCAGTTGAACAGGTAAATTGGTATTGTACGGCTGCATTATGTGAAGCCCAGTGAGAAGGACAGTCTATATTCTTCAGGCTATGCACCGTGACTGCTGTGGCTAGGGAGTCCACACACTTGTACTAACCTATTAGTAACAGGTCCAGTCAAGCTACCCAGCCACCCCACACACACATAAACTGCTACAATGTCGGGCTAATTTCCAACAATCCGCTGCTCAGTTGCCGGTAATTGCGGTGGAGAGGGGAGGCTGAAGGGAGAGAAGAGATCTGGAGGACAAAATGACTTGCCAGAGATAGAACTTGTCGTTGTAGCAGTAGTGGTGTATTAACCTCTGGTGACCCTGAGAATGCTTTCGTTGCAGAAAACGTTAACCTTTTCAACACCACAAAGCAAAAGTATAGCCTGTCAAAGAAAACAAAGTGCTATGGTGTATTTTATTGGCAATATCTTGCATTTAGCTCCACAAAGAGTAATTTGATTAATATGGTTGGGGCAAATAGAATCAAAGGATGGATGTTTTTAATATGTGCCTGGAAAAGGCTTTGTAGAGAGATGCACATCAAACAGATGGTACCCTAACCTAGAGGGCTTGAAATGGGATCTTGTGTAACTTACTGTCTCTCTGCACTTACACATAGGCCTAAGCTTTGCCATTTGTTTCGGGTGGCCAATAGAGGCCTTTTTATAGGTCAGGCTAAGGTGTTTGCTCATAGAGTTAACACTAGTTCTGAGGTGTCAGAAGAAAGGAGTTGGGGGACAATCACTCAAGCCCTGGTCTCAAAAGCTCCTCCATTACTGTAGCAGGCTGACAGTCGAGCCTATGGGCTTTTTACTTTCACCAGTGTTAATCCTGACTGTGAACATCTCAGCAAACAAGCTCCTGGTATCCGGCTCGCTTCAGGGCTGCCTTAACTGTGAGAAATGCATCTAAATGAAAAATGAGGTTGAAGCTGCACTGACTGATGTTTTGGTGAATGCAGCATCGTTTTAAAATGTATCACCTTTTAGCATACAGTTTTCTATTTCCAGATGCAGCAGATAATCAGAAACATTACTATTTAGATGAAGTCAAGTTTCTGGCCACCTAGCTCGTGTTTTGTCTCTTGATATAAATATTCAGCACTTTGGCTGCTAAATGCCCGACTGGAGACAAAACTGAAATTAACATATGAGACTTTCAAAAAATGGGTTCACTCGTCACTACAAGAGACACTTGATCCATTGCTATTATCAAAGTTATTGAATATAGCTAATCATTTCCTTTTATTTATTTATTTTTTTGGGGGGGAGGGATTATATGCCCCTGACAAATTTACACCGTGGTTGGCATTCATTGGTTGGTATGCATTTTTTTAAATAAAATTTTTGGAAGTGTTCCATCACCATTATTATCTAAGTTATTGACATATTCCAACTGAGGAACTGTTGAGAAATGGCTTCAATGCATCGCCATTATAAACCGGTATGTCGTTCCCACTCGTCAGTCCCATATTCTGTTAATTAGTATCTAATATCTAAAAAAGCCGGAACCCGTCCTCATTAAAATGCTGCACATTTAGGTGTGGTTATTGTTGTTGTAAAAATGCTTTGTTCAGTTACAAACATTTTGTTCAGTAATATTAATTATCCTCAGGCACATACTTTAACTTATGTCTCCCGAAGCTGCACTATTTGGAAACTGTTTACTCACATCTGGAGATGGCGCCAGACTAATCACGCTGTACCTGATCTAACAGAGCTGCATTTATGAGGTTCAGCTGCTGTCAAGGTGAAAAGCTTTCCCATTCAGATCTTGGCAACACCTCACACTTACTTTCCCACTGGGCCACCTCCATTATACTAACATTGTGGTGGTTCCGGACAGCAGTGGCACATATACAGTTTGATTAGAAACCAGTGAGATACGACCACTTTAAATTAATGAGTGTACACAGTAGGGGCAGAAAGCAATGGTCCTGGTGGGCTCTGTGGTGCTAATTCAGGCGAGCCTGACTCAGGTCTGTCGTGCCGCCAAACGGCCCGAGCAGAACTGTTTGTTTTATGCTGTTTATTGAAATGAGTTATAAATCCTCCTCCTCGCTCCGCAGGGCTTGGATGAGGTTTGGCGGAGCGAGGAAGTAAAGGTGATTGCTTTATTGCTGGTCGGGTGCTCATGAATGCCCTGTGTGGCGACAGGTTCACCTACAGTAAATGTAAAAATGAAATCGTTTATAATACAATACATAAGTTCTGCGAGGGTTTTGGCATGCATGAAAGAGAACATTTGTGAGATCTGAGCTGTGGAACAAGTGTAGATGTAGGTGGGGAGCATAATGGCCCTCAGGGAGATGATTATGAGGCCTGCACGGTTTAAGCTGTAACAAGGTAGTATTGCATCTGCTGAGAGGTAGACTTTACACTCACTGTGGTAAAACTGGGCGGAAGACATAAAGGTCAGATGTAAGTGGAAAGTAGGGCGCTCTCGAATTGCCTCGTCTTTCAGGAGAATGGCTTGTGTATTGTAGAACTCGCTCACTGGAAGTTTTG